CTGTGGCACATGTCAGAATTTCCTTCCTTTGTAAGGCTGAATAATATTCGATTGTCTGTATGTGCCACATTTGTGTATCCACTTATATCCATCAGGGAACATTTGGGTTGCTGCTACCTTTTAGCTATTGTGAATAATGCTACCATAAACATGGATATACAGATACCCAACCTCCAAACTCTTAAACCATTTGGAAGTCCACAACGTCTGCTGGAGCGGTGGACACCCACATGACATGGAAGGTATGGAAGGTGTGTGTGTGTGTGTGTGTGTGTAAAGATCCTTTGGTGCCACACGGGGGCTGGAGGATGGGTCCCAGACAGGAATGTCTGCTGGAACATGGGAGACAACACAGAGGCAAATGATGGCCAGCCCTAGCCTCTCCCCAGCCCATGCCGTAACCAGTTTTGCTTGCTTTGGCCTTCACCTGGATCTGAGGCTGGAGTCTTTCTTGCCTTTAACTAGGGTGCCCTTATGTTCCAGAAATGCCAACCTTCAACACAGAAACTAGACTTAACATGAATATTTTGTAGACATGAAAATTACAAGCTATTTATTCTGAGCACTAAGAAGCAAAATGCTGGCTATGTCTCAAAATAATACAGATAACTGCTAACACGTGTTGAGTGTTTCCAAATGCTGCGCCTGCATCCTCTCATCTACTCACAGCAACCCAGTGAGAACCTTAGCTTTATCATCTTAATTTTATAGTTGAGAAAGAGGCGGCACAGTGTTCTGCTTAATTCACATGAGTAGTAAGTGTAAGAACTGGGCATGGGACCTGGGCCATTAACAGAGAGCTTGTGCTCTAGATCACTGTACTTCCCTGCCTCTTGACTAGCAGAAAATTATGGGGCAGCCTCCTGTCCAGGGGAACTGTGCACCTGTCCTGCAGGATGGTCACTGTCCCCTGCACGGTCCCCCCAGAGAGGCTAGTGTCCTCCTCCCCACAGGCTGCGGCTGATGGCACTGGAGAGAGCAGCGGGTGGGAATAAGGCGTCTGATGGAGTTTCCCGGAAGAGCACTGTGGCTGACTTCCCCATGAAGACCCCGCCCCAGTCCCTCGGCCTAGAAACGTTTAGAGATACTCCACAAATGAACTGAGATAACATGGCCTATTCATTATGTCTTAGAGGATGATCAGCTCAATGCTGCCTATCTTACAGGTTTTGGCCAAACACTATTGACCACTGTGGATGACTTTGGGGCATCTTAGATGCTGCCAGCTGCACAGGCTTGGCATCAGTTACAGCCTAGCCCCATCTCATCTAGGCATCCTCATCTCCAGTGACTGGAACACTGATGCCCACCAGAGCCCAAATGCCCATGGAGCCCACCTGCTGGGTGTTGCTCCGGGCAACATTAAACAGACACCACAGACATGCAGAAGCTGAGCACAGGGGTGAGAGGGACTCCAGCTGACCACCCTTGGGCACTAGTCCCTGGACCACCATGATTATGAGCTCCAGGTGCCCAGCACTGGGGCAGGCGCTTGCAAGGTTAGTCAAGGTGGTCCCCGCCCTCCTGAACACAGAAACATGGAGTGGAAAGCACACAGGAGCACGCTGAGCAACCCCTCAGCCCATGGCCCGGGTAAGAATGTGTGAAGATTTACCGTCTGTTAAGCAATGAGATAAGTGTGGAAACTGAAGAGAGATGAGCTGAGCTTACCAGCAGTTGCACCCTCCCTCCTGCCGCCCCCATACAAGGAAAAATCTCTCCCAGCTTGGGAATTTGGAGAGAGAAACTTCTGGGCAGGGGAGTTGCCAGCCAGGGGTGTGTTGGTCAGCAGGCCCTCCTGAGGGTCCTCCTCCTCTTTAACTGGTCTCTTTAAATTGGGGCAGAAGAGATGAAAGACCTGGACATTTCCCCCCAATTAATTAAATTATCCTTTGGCTTAGCTGCCTTTTATCACCTTGAATGAGAGGCATTAGGTAGACTTCCCTGTGATATGTAATTTGCTCCTGTCTCTCTCCCTCAGCTCCAGGGTGCTGTTTATCTTTCCTCCAAGGCCTGTTTCATCCTAACTCTTCCTTTCATTCACCTATTCACCACCCACCACGTCTTCCTCTGGAGTAGGTGCCCTGAGGTGTATTAGTACTCCCCGAAGACTCACTGGAGGCGGGCTTTATTTTTGGATTCTTTGGAGATCTCCGGTTTAAGTATCTAGACTCCTCTGACACTTGCTCAAGAAAGTCAACTAAGGAAATTCCTAGAGAGCAGGGTGATGGTTAGGACTCTGTCTACTACTGCTAAACTCAGAGGGTTCCATCAATTTCCCCAGAAAATTAAACAGAAGTTAAAATAAACATTTCCAAAGTTATAGTTTATGATGTGCTACTAAATTGCTACCCCTTCTCCTTTCTCAACTTAATTAAGAGTATTAGTTTACTTTGTGGCATCAAATGACTCTTATTTCTCCTGGACCGGATTTTTATTGTCGCTCTGGTCCTTGCCCTTTGTCTTGCTGCCCCCCCTATGCCCATATCTGTGAAGAATTTCAGGAAGGGAGCAGGGGAGGTGGTTTCTGAATGTGGGCAACACTCCAAACAAGTTCTGCTAATCTCAGGGTTAGTGAAACTCTTTGCTCAGAAACTTTATGGCCAGGGGAATGGGTGCTTCGTGTTTGCTCTTCAAATAAAGGAACCTTGGAGGCAGAGAAGGGCATTTTCTGTGGAGCTGCTGACTTTTGAAATCGTGAGCCTTCTTCCTTATCAGGCCGGTTTATTGCCGGTTTCATCGACGTTTTATGAGGGAATGGAGGCCCTGCTGACGAGGGTGGTGGCAGCTGTCTCCAACCTTCCACATTGTTGACAAGATCAAAGGACAGATTTACCACCTGATAAGATTGGGTGGATAAGATTGGGCGGAATCTCTCTGACTTCTTGCCTCCACACACAGGGGCAAACAACAGGCTGGATCTTGTGCCTTTTCTCTCTGGCTTGGCCTCTTGTTTCTTGTATATTTGTGGAACCAGCTGGACCTCCCAGGCAATTCCTGCCCCTCAAAATTAATTACTATTATTCCTCACAATTTTAGAATTTAAAAAGTGTACATTTTAATGATTTAAATTATCTGAGCTCTTCAATACCCACTGTTCATACAAATGACACTCCTTGTAAAATTTGTACAATAGAAAATAGGAAAAAATGTGTGTATGAAAATAATTTATAGTTAAGTAATCGTCTCTAAAACACTGGTATTTTCAGGAAGAGAGATTCTATGGACTGTATTCTCAGCTACTGTTGACATTTTACTACAGTTGCCTCGACAATCTTTGAGACTTTTTAAAATTTGTCTCATTATTATTGAGAATTGGAAACTTTCTTCTATCACTAGAAAACTTCTCTTCCTCCTGCCCTCCCTCTTTCCCTTCCTTCCTTCCTTCCTTCCTTCCTTCCTTCCTTCCTTCCTTCCTTCCTTCCTTCCTTCCTTCCTTCCTGTGTCAAAAGAAACTGCTCTGATTTTCCAGAAATATCCTTGCTTCTCACCTTCTCTGTAACTCACCTGGCTTTCTGATCTGGCTGCTCTGTTGATGTAGTCCTTTCTCTGCTGTGGTTCTGAGGAGAGGAGAGCAGGCATGTTCTGGCAGCAGCAAGCACATATCCAGGTAACTCGCTACAGCTGGAGTCTTTCCTCAGCAGATGTTAAGGGGCTACTTTATAATCTATGTTGTTCTAGAAGGGTTGTAGAGCACATCCTGAGAAATTTTGTGATGACAGCTCTGCTTACTTTGATTTTGTGTTTCCACTACTCTTAACTCCCTTCTCCCCATCCTGAGCTTTACCCTGAGCTCCCTGATTCTTCTCTGCTCTAGGCCCTTCCTCCCCCTGCCTTCTGGAGCCGGGCAGGCTCATGTCTTCTGTATTTCTCTTTCAAATGCACCTGCTGAGTGTCCTGAGGCCTCTTGGAGAGCAAGTTGGTGAATAAACCCCCATTAAGGTGGAATGCCAGAAAGCTCTCACTTACTATATCTACTCCCCTCCCTCAAATCTGTACATTTTCAGAGCATTGCATGGCAGTGGTGGTATTTTCATCATTAGTTGGGGATCACTCTGTCTTTTCCATTTCTCCATTTAAAATTAATGCCCCAAATATGGAGCCCAGCCTTGCTGTCCCCAGTCCATGTAGCAGAGATAGGCCTCCTAGGACAGGGTTGGGTGCACCTAATCTCTTTGGAAACAAGGGAGTGGGGCAGCATGTCAAAGTCCTACCTATCTGTTTAAAACACAAACCACCCTTGGGGGGGGGGGGGCTGTTTGCAGCAAGCTAAGGTGAACTGTATTCTACATCTGAGCACAGTCCCCAGATGCTTCTGATGCAGGATACGTGTGCATGCACCCTGCAAAGGCTGATCAGATGCAATGAACAAACCGGGGGGAGCCATCTTCTAGTTTCCCACCCACCTCTCATCTGCAATGTGACCTTGGACAAGTCACCTGGCCTTGATGGGTTATAAGATCCTCAACTCCCCACAGCCTCACACCCCAACACCAGTTTCAAAATTCAGGGAGTCTGGGTCACTATCTACTTACTGGCTCGGTTCATATCTGGGGACCTCCAAGCTCTGAAAAGTAGTGAATCTTTCTACTTTGTTTGGGAAGGCCATGCTGGCCAAGGCATGGCTAACTGTCCCCAGTGGCTTCATATGCCAGCTTGATCCTGGGTTCCTGCAGCCCACAGGCCTTGGGCAGTATACTTATAGGAATTAATATACACTTAGTGTATATCCAATATAATAAAGGCTAATATGCAAATTGTCCTCTCAACCAGGAGTTCTACCAGCAGGCAGGCCAACCAACTGCCCATGTCCACTCCCCCTGGCCAGGCTGGCCAGACCCCACCCATGCATGAATTCATGCACGGGGCCTCTTAACACACACACACACACACACACACACACACACACACACACTCATACACTGAGTGACCAGATTATTACGCATTCAGAGATCATAATAATCTGGCACCTCAGTGTATATGAAATGTTTAGCTCAATGCCTGGCACACAGTGAGTAATTGTTAGGTGTACTGATAATTATTGTCATTGTTATGGAACTTTACAGTTTCAAAGAGTTTCATATAGATATATTATATGTTCATATGATTTTCATAAAGACTCTTGGAGGGGGCAAGTAATTCCATTGTGCAAATCAAAATATTGTGACTCAGAGAAGTAGTGAGAGTCACAGTGCTGATTTCTTTGGGCTCCAACCCCAGGCTGTCTCTGATTCATAAGATAACATCTTAGTTGTGTTGGTAGAGTCTCCTGTTTTGCAAGGTTAGGTTTACGGTTGTAAAAGTGTTTTGCACCCACAGCAGCTATTGGGAGCATCTGTAGGACAGTGGGTGTGTGCCAGGGGCACCAGTGTCCTCGGAGGCTGGCTGGTGAGATTGCTGTGTGCTGTGAGGGGAGGAAGTGTGGGGACATCACCTTCTCCCCTTTCACTCTGGCCCTATGTCCTAGCCCAGTGGTTGGCAAACTCATTAGTCAACAGAGCCAAATATCAATAGTACAACAATTGAAATTTCTTTCGAGAGCCGAAAACCAACTTCTGTGCATAGGCCATGAAGTTTCAATTGCATTGTATGTGGGTGCTCGCACATGGTATTTTGTGGAAGAGCCACACTCAAGGGGCCAAAGAGCCACATGTGGCTCATGAGCCGCATTTGCCGACCACTGTCCTAGGCCACCTTTCCCTATTGGGATCATGATGTTGGCAGAAAAGCAGAACCAGGAAGCAAGGGGCCAGGGAAAGTGGGGGGTCTGGAATACAAACTCCAAACTAGACATTCTACACTGAGAACTCAATGTCTGGAGTCTGGATCCAGCACTTCCTTCACTGGGCTGAGCTCCAGCCCAGGTAGGTGATCAAAGTGTGCATGGGGTACTGGGCCAAAGTTGCCTAAAGACGTGGCTTCTTTTAAAGAGACAGCAATGTTTGAGGCAGCGCAAGCCTCTGAGTGACGTGGGGACCTGGGGAGTCCTAGGGGCTGAGGGGTGAGCACAAGCCATCTCCCCTTTCCACCCAAGGGAGTCAGGTCCATGGAGGAGGCTGGGCTTGGGGGTGCAGCTGGGGTCGGGGGGGGGGGGGGAGGGGAGCTGAAGAAGGTGAAGAGACAAATTTAATCATCTGTGATATTATTTTCAAAACATTATCAACTATATTATTGGCCATAAATTTTCACCTGAAATTTAGAGAGTAAATAGGCTTTTATAGTGCAGTAAAAAGCATATTAGCTGGTTCTGGGGTTGTCTTGCCTGCCATTTACTCCACTGTTTTATCAATATTGCCATAATTTGACACTTGTGAATAGAGGAAGATTGTAAAGTGTTCACAGATCCTGTAAACTATACTAAATAGAGATTAGTATTACTACTAAGTTTAAACCCCAGTAAAAGATAATTACACTGATGGACATGGCTGTAAATCTCCCTTTTATCAAGTGCTCACTCTCGTGCGGGCGGTCTCACCTTATTATTTTACAGCATCATTAATGCTCTGGCAGGATTGGACTTGGTGGATGCTGCTGCCAGCTGAGTGAGGAGACAGTGAGATATGTAAGATATGTAAGATATGTAAGATATGTAAGATATGCAGAAACCCCATGTGGGCTCTCCCAGTTCCCTTCTCCGTCACAGCGTCCAGCTATGACTTGAGTCTGCACACCAAGACTGCCTCCAAGGAAACCAGGGGCTCTGCCCTTCCTGGCCCCAGCTCTGCAGCGGCAGGTCCTGGTCTGTAAAGAATGCCGTTCCTACCGAAACCGGTTTGGCTCAGTGGATAGAGCATCGGTCTGCGGACTGAAAGGTCCCAGGTTCGATTCCTGTCAAGGGCATGCACATGGGCTGCGGGCACATCCTCAGTAGGGGGTGTGCAAGAGGCAGCTGGTTAATGTTTCTCTCTCATCCCTCTCCCTCCCTCTGTCAAAAATCAATAAAATATTAAAAAAGAAAAAAAAAAAAGAAAAAAAAAAGAATGCCGTTCCTGGTGCTCTTGAAAGCAGCGCTTTTATGGAAGCTCCTTGGGGCCTCTGCTTCCTGTCGAGACAGGGTCACCTTCGGCTGAATAATGCCCCTTCTGGGAAAGTAAAACTCTTTACTCTAGGTGGGGGGCAGCTGAAACACAAACATCCTTTTATCGGCACCACACTAGTCGGGGAGACCCCTGGATGGAGCCTGTATCGAAGTGGCTCAGTCCTAGCAAGGAGGTTCCCTTCACTGCTTTTGACTGTGTGTGTGTGTGTGTGTGTGTGTGTGTGTGTGTGTGTGTGTGTATGGGGGGGGTGCGAGGGGGCGGGTGGGAGGCACAAGGGCAGAGCAGAGTAGTTATTATGGGACAGTGGAGCACAAAGGCCACCATCTCTAAGGATGCGCCTCTGGAGCTGCCATGCTAAGGAATAAATCGTGGGGAGCCCTCATTCCCACCTCTCCCTTCCCACTCATCCACCAGCTGATCTGAGCCTTTGCCAACAGCAAAACCAAAGCACCGAGGCCTGGCTCAAGCTTGTGGGCCTGGGGTCCTCTCTGGTCAGGGGCGCAGCTCCCCAACACCAAGTGTGAGTGCCTGCCAAAAGCTGCTTCATCCACCATCTGGTCTCTGCTCTCCAGGGCCGCTGGGACGAAGTGACATCTGCTACCTGCCACCAATCCATTTCCCTCTGTGGCTGTGCTGCCAGCCGGAAGCAGGGGCCATTGTCAGCTGGAGTAGGCAGCAATAGGTCTGGGCTTGTGTCTGGCCTTTCGCTGGCCTGAGTCAGGTCTGGCTGCCACCTTGGGCCTCCAGAGTGTTAGTCTTCCTGGACCCCCCAGAGGCCGCATCTGGCCTAAACAAGGAACTTACTTAGATGTTTTCAATGCCCTTGATCGGCACCCCATTATTTATGAAACAGAGAGCCTGAGGCCAATGTCCTTCTCATTACCTGCTCCTGACCTTGGCAGTGAACCTAAAATCACTGCTTGTGGGTAACTGGGATCAAGGCCTTTTGACTGGCCTGTTTGACAAGTCCAAGTTCTCAAGCCACCGGGTGAGCCTTGCTCTTTGGCTGGCCTTGACTGTCGAAACTGGAACCTGGAGAACAAGGAAACAGTCCCACCGAAGAGTCATCTGGGAGAGACTGGATTTGGCCACATCAGATAAACACATTTCCCCCCTCTTTTTATTGCCTACGGCTAAGTGATATGGACCCTGGTTGGAATTAGCCGGCTGAAAGTCCAAGAGATAAGCAACTTCTCCTAGAATGAGAGATCAGCAGACCCAGCCGCGGGCTTGGTCAGGAGGCCTCTTCACCTTTTGAACTTGGGGCCTGACTCCCTTTGCTGTTTCAGTCCCCAGCAGCAGAGGGCCTGGGCAGAGGGAGCGGAGACTGGGCCTGGGCTGAGAGAAGACCCGTCACCTAAGCTCTACCTCCACTTGCGCTCGCTGGTGCCGTGTGTGATTGCTCTTCCTGATTCCAAGATGGACTGGGGCCCTCGAGAGGATGGCAGCAAGATTTAAGGCCCTGTAGTGTGCCAGACCTCAAGGCTCCTGAGCTGGCCGAGGGCCCAAGGTCTGCTCAGAGGGAGCTCAGACCCAATGGAGCTCACGGCAAACTCACCCCTCCTGCCTCTGTTTGGTGCTGCCAGAGGAAAGTGGCCTCCGTCAGAACAAAGTCATTTTCATAGTTAGTGCTCTTGTTAGAAATGCTGCTTCCCGGGGCCCCTGCCTGGGGCTCCGTGCAGGGATGTTTATACACTCAAGTTCTAGGTCTTGATACCCAACCTCGCAGTGTGAAGATTTCACCTTGTCCTGGCGGTGAAAAATCACACTTATCATTATTTGCTGAAAGGCCGATGAAGGCAAAAGAGCTTTTTTCCCGTAATCATGCAAGTGATTGTAGTTCCAAGGGTATGGTCAGGGTCTAACGAGTAAACTACCGCTGTTCTGCTTTGGACATTTGAGCGTTGGCTCTGAAGTAAGCACGCCGCAATGAAGACAGTCATGTAGAAGCAGACACACAAGTGTGAGTGCGTGCTTCACAGAGGTCCTCGATGAGGGAGATGAGCTGGGATCCTGAGGTGGGCCCCCCGCTCAGGCCCAAAGGTGAAAGAATCAGGTGCCATTATCCCGAAAAGTCTGCTCCCAAAACGTTATAATAAAAATTATTTCTCCAGTTCTGAGTCTATTTATTTACCATTTCCTTCCATAAGCGCTTATTAAATGCCTCTGAGGCCAGCACTCTCCTAAGCTCCTGGGGTGTATCAACCCAGTAGTTGGCCTCCCGGAGCTCCAGGACAATGGAGGAGGCAGTCAGGAGGACACGGCGTGCTAAATGTGGTGACACAGCACAGGGCCCACTCCTGCTGTGGGGTGTACTTCCATGTGTATGATTGTGTGTGTGTGTGTGTGTGTGTGTGTGTGTGTGTGTTTGTGTGTGTTTGTGTGTGTGTGCACGCATGAACAGCATGGACACACAGACTTACTTTCCAACCTGGTCAAGCTTCTCAACTCCCAGCCTCCTAACCTGAAAGTTCTCACTTAGGGAAATTATGATCTTTAAGAATTTACATCTGACAAACTTTTTTTCTCTTGCAGGATATTTTTCAGTTAAATGAATATATGCTACATTTGAGATTGTTGTTCCTTAAAAGACTCACCTTAGATCCAAGAGGAGGAGGAAGACAGAAAAGAACAAAGAAAAAAACCCTGACAATAACAAATGAAACCTCAGGCCCTGTAACCCAGGTAAACCTCCAAGAAGATGCTGGCTGGGGCTGGCTGGTGCTTAAGCTAATAAACCCGATTATCTTGAAGAGTAAACACCGTGTTGTTTTGCCAACTATTAGATTTTTACTACTCTCCAATAAAGCAAGTGAGCTCTTCATTTTGAATAATATTCCATTCACTGTTTCCTAAAGATTAGCAATTGAAAGAGATGTCAACAATTTTCACTCTTCAAATTAAGTATAATAGGCTTTTATAGCACAGTATAAAGATATGGAAGGCAAGGGCTGCCATCACCACAGCTCCGTTTCTTTATCTATCAGCACAGCCCCAATCTGACACTTGTCAGCTCGTAAAGAGCCGTAAAGAGCCGCAGACCCCATAAAGCCGGCAGCTTGCATGTTGTGCAGCTCACTCCAGGCACAGGGAGGTGATAATTTAATTAATGAATGTGCTGTGAGCATAAAGGGTTATCTCGTGAGTCCTCTTCTCCTTTGCCTGCTGGTGACCTCAGAGCTGAGTGTTTGCATGTTAGCAGCAGCCTGGGCCTGGGCTCGGTATTTGTGGAAATGTGACATCACTGCTGTTCCCAGGGAAAATGCCAACCATTTATCATAGCTGGTTTCCGAATAGCTTCAGAGGCTATGCCCAATTTCTCCTCAGGTGTTTTATATATGCTTATGTATGTACCTGTGAGTGCGTGTATGCGTGTGTGTTGACTTCTAACTGCAGATCAGCTTCACCTCTGATGTAGCTCATATGGCAAAAGACAGGCGAGGGGCAGGGGCAGAGACCATGGGGGTGGAGGGATGGGTTGGGGCCCCTCTCCCAGCTCTTAGGATGGTGCTTTCATTACCCCCCCCCCCCTCCACACACACACACCTTTGAATTATTGACATTTCTTTGGTCCCGTCCACTCATTTCATAGTCCTGCAGGCTGCACCTGCTGTTCCGAGGCCAAACCCCTCCTATCAGAGGGAAAGCACAGGGAAGGGGACAGACTCCTCGCTCAGCTCAGCATTCCTCGGGCCTTGCTTTGGGGTAACTGAAATCACAGATAAGCACATAGAAGTGTTACCTTAACCCTAAGGCCAACCTCCCTCCTTCAGGGCCCAGGAGGCCACTGAGCCTGCAGGGCCCAGCTCTGGTTCCAGGCTGTAGAGACCACTGGAG